GATTTCTCAATACTTCTCGTTTTTCTTTTTCTAAGACCTCTCGGTTTTATCCGAATTTTCTCTCAAAGAAGGAACTCTTTTTTTCATAATTTTGACCGTGTACGATTAGCCATCATCATGAGAAAAAAAAAACGTGTAACACACAAGAGAAAATGTTAGAGGACTTAGTGTATTTATAAACTACAATAAGGACTCTAATGAGGTGCTAAATATGGGCTTATCCAACTAGTGTTAGGAAACATATTTATTCTTCAACTCATTTTCTTTCAGAAGACCTAATTCCTTCTAATTCTACCCCTTCTATTAGACTATCATGTCTCCTAACATTTGATAATATTCTAGAAGAAATACTTTTTTTTTCTTAGGGAATTATTTAAATAGAGAATAAATTAATTCCTCACCCTATTATTGAATTAAATAATAAAACCTTCCACTAGAGTAATATCATTGCTCTCCCCATTTAGCTCCGATTTACAATTAATTCGTCCCTACTTAATAAATAAATATTAATTTAATTGATCCATTTATCATCCTTATGTTTAAGATATAGCGTCCGTTGATTACTTAAATTACTGACAAAATATTTAATCAAATTCTTATTCATTTATGAAATAAATACCACTCATATCCTATTATTATGTCGAATACTCATCCGCCTGCACGGCTTGACATAATATTCTTTCCTTAGCTCTGTTGATGTCGGAATTCAGACGATCAACCGTTGTATATAAATCGAATTTCATGTACGAAAATGAAGAACAAAATGGTGAAAAATGTGTTCTTATTTCTTGTGATTTTTCGGAGAATCCTCTCCTTCTCGGTTGGGTGGAGGGTGAATAGTGGAATCCCTTCCTCTCTCCCCTCTCCTCATATATATACACACATATTAATTAAGAAAGTAATAATAACAAAAATACAATAATATTTAATGTCATGTGATAACTGGGGGTCCACGCGAGACTTTCGACAGCTCGGATTGCGCCTACCGGAGACGGGTCTTCGGGATATATGGGCCATCCAACCACTTTGGACTCTATCCGGCTCGACAGCGGCAGGTTCGACACCGGGGGACTCGGTCGGCTTTTAGATGATCGGTCTTGAGCATCTGTTTGTATATTTATTGCATATTTTCGACTCCTTGATTATCGGACCGTATTTTATTATTTCATTTATTATTTAAATAAGCGGAGCCAAATTTTGTATCAACAGAGGCCCCCGAGTTTAGGACATGTTCTTGATTGAACTGTTATAAAGTCGCGTTATTCTTTACAATTTGGCGAGGTTGTCGCCTCGTGATCTTTTGAGTTTTTTTTTTCTTTTTTCTTTTTTATTGTGTTAGGATATCGCGTAATGAGGGATATTGTTGGAATCGCTAATATGTAGATGAGCGCGAGTGGCGGATGATTTTCGTGTGATTTATGAGATCACTTTTTATCTTGTCAATTTTTGGCGAAAATGATGATTTATCGCGGGTTAGAATGCAACTTTTGGGCGCTTTGGGACCCTTGAGCGTATTGTTGATCATTTTAGACTTCGGCCTGACGAATACATAATTATAATGCTTCGTTCTTCGTTGAGTTGGGTCGATTTTGACCGAATGGGCGATATTTTTGAATTGCTAGCGGATGGGGCCTGAGTGGCCTGGTCGGGCCCTTTTTTTATGCATGAATGCCTTTTATGTTGACATGAGTGAGCTTAGAGCTCTTTGTCTGGGTGAGCTTTCAAGCTCTTTGTTCGATTGAGCTTTGAGCTCGTCATTTCTTACGGGCCTTTATGCATAATACGATCACATGAGGAATGTGTGAATGTATGATGAATGCATGATGAATGCATGTGATGTGTGTTTGTCAAATGAGAGCATCTAGTCGCGTGCTTTGGTCGGCCGAACTGTTTTTTGGGGTTCGTTTTTTAGTTTCTAGGCACTTCAGCCTTACGGCTCGTAGGCCTTTAGTTATACGGCATTTTGGCCTAACCGGGCCCCTTTGTCGAGCCCGATTTGTGGAATTTATTGCATCAATTATAGCGGCTCTTTTATCCGACCTTGCATTAATTTATTACTTGACCGAGCCTCGTGATCGGGCTCGGTGCTTTTTATTTATTTGGTCCGGCCCCGTGATCGGGCTCGAACCTTTTTATTTATTTGGTTTGTTTTAATTTATTTTCCTTTGTCTTGGCGACTTCGGCCTGACCAGGCTGCCTTTTGAGCCTCGGCATTTGTTTGGCTCTTACCAGACCGGATCTCCTGTTGGACTCGGCTGCGACTTGACCGGGCTATCTCCGAGCCTCGGCCTCTTTTGGCTCTTACCGAACCGGGTCTCCTGTTGGACTCGGTATTCGCGGCCTGACCGGGCTA